TAATCTTTTTGTTATCCTCATAACCTTACTCTTTCCTGTATTCACCTTTAATTTTCTTCTTTTGCACACCCTACCAAATTCATCCACCAATCTCTGCAACTTCTCTTCAGAATCTCCCAAGAGCACAGTGTCATCAGCAAAGAGCAGCTGTGACAACTCCCACTTTGTGTGTGATTCTTTATCTTTTAACTCCACGCCTCTTGCCAAGACCCTCGCATTTACTTCTCTTACAACCCCATCTATAAATATATTAAACAACCACGGTGACATCACACATCCTTGTCTAAGGCCTACTTTTACTGGGAAAAAATTTCCCTCTTTCCTACATACATATGGTTTAATATCTGGGTATCTTTATTTGTAGATACTTGCAGACTCTTCAAGACTACAGTTCTCTTCACCAATTCCAAGGCTGAGGGACTGATTACCTTGTCTTTTGAATATAGTTCTACAGTCTTTTCACTGTGTCCTTGAATTTGCATTGATAAAGCGAAACGTCTACAAATAAAGGTACTGAATCCGTTGTTGTTCCACATTTGTCTAATTCGTCAACTTGTCAGTATTATATACCATTGATGTTATGAGGTTTGCCTGGAGGAAGAGGTGTGATATGGGAAGAAAAAAATGTAGTGCAGGAAGCAAGAATGGATGGATGGATGGATAGAAGGAAGAAAGGCAGTGCAAAGGGGATGCAGGCAATATGAAAAGAAAGTTTGTGTGGTGAAAGGAGAGAGAATAGGTGTTAGTTGTGTTTACAAGGGTTGAGTCATAGCTCCTGGCCCTTCCTCTTAACTTTTCATGACCAGTTTTACTGATTTCTGGTGTACACGGAAGAGAAGCTAATAAGAGTCAGGAAAGCTAATGGTGGAGAGAGCGCTAGAGTACAGAACCTGAGATTTCACTGAAGTTACAAGGTTCATTTGTAATGTTCACAGCTAACTGATGCAATAAATGTTTCCCACCATAAATATACCTAACTGTATGTTGCATGTAAGTGCTCTGGCACAGGCAGATTGTAAGCTACATATCTGTCACAGTTTTCAAGCAGAATTATTAAAAAAAATGACATGTCTAATAACAAGACCCCACCTGAAAAATTTCTCAAGATGTGTACTCTAATATTTATACAAATTAACAAGGTATAAATATTTTTAAAATTTACAACAAAACTAATTTAACAGCCTTTTTTCTTTTTTTTTTCAACAAGTCGGCCATCTCCCACCGAGGCAGGGTGACCCAAAGAGAAAGAAAATCCCCAAAAAGAAAATACTTTTCATCATCATTCAACACTTTCACCTCACTCACACATAATCACTGTTTTTGCAGAGGTGCCCAGAATACAACAGTTTAGAAGTATATACGTATAAAAATACACAATATATCTCTCCAAACTGCCAATATCCCAAACCCCTTCTTTAGAGTGCAGGCATTGTACTTCCCATTTCCAGGACTCAAGTCCGGCTATATGAAAATAACCGGTTTCCCTGAATCCCTTCACTAAATATTACCCTGCTCACACTCCAACAGATCGTCAGGTCCCAAGTACCATTTGTCTCCATTCACTCCTATCTAACTACGCTCACGCACGCTTGCTGGAAGTCCAAACCCCTTGCCCACAACACCTCCTTTACCCTCCCCTCCAACCTTTTCGAGGACGACCCCTACCCCTGCCTTATGTATCATTATTAAAATTAACCTAAAGTAATTTAGATTAATTTTACCCAACTATTTTAGGTAAGTCAAAATTTACTTTGCATTATTTAATGTCAATATAATATGTTATCATGATGACTAGACTTATTTTTTGAAGTTATTGCAATGATGACTCTACACTTAGCTTGTTTGGCAAAATAATAATTATTTTAAGACAAGACCATGAGCACTGTGTAAAAAGCACAACAGATTCACATATTTTGTGGGTTATCATAACTGTAGCAAACATTGAACTTCACTTGCTGAAGGCACTGTAATTAGGGACGGATTTAAAGCAAAATGTTAAATGCATGAGGTCAACAACTTACAAACAAGTTGTGTTCTTGATATTGCAACTAACAACAAGTGTTCTTGATGTTGTGACTTACATACAAGATGTGTTCTTGATGTTGCAACTTACAAACAAGATGTGTTCTTCATGTTGCAACTTACAAACAAGATGTGTTCTTGATGATACAACTTACAAATGAGTTTTGTTCCTACTGTTTTAAACTTACAAATTAATTGTCATGGACTGGGTTGTGGGGGCAATGACCCCCAGAACATCCTCCAGATATAGACAACAATAGTACAGCAAATTGTTATATTTCACACATTCACACTGTCTCTTGGCAGGGTAACACTTTAATCAATTTCTAAGTGCCTGCTTGTGAGTGTGGATGTTGTAATTTAGAATGTAAGTTGGGACCTTCATTAGACAGATCAACAGAAAAAGGCTTAAAAGGTAAGGGTAACATGCTTTTGGCTAAAGAATAACCATTGTGCATAATCTGGTAAATCATCCAATATTCCACTGAGGAGGTTGTATTAAAAACCTTTCAAGATAAGGAAACACAACTTGGCAGACATTATGACTACTGAGATTTCTGACTGCCTCCTATACAAACATGAAAACTTAAGGGACTGCGGATGTGCCTGTATTTACAACTTCTGCGACTCCTACCAAGACATGTTAGTAAAAGTCGGGAAACAAATGCACAAAACCTTCCTTCGGACTATAAATCCCAAAGGGCAAATAACCTAGATATTTTATATCACCAATAATAGGGTAGTCCAAGAAATCCAAGAAGTATGACTAATTTCCATTGGGATCCTTGCATCCATACATGCTGCCCATAACTGTCAGGTGCTCCACAGGCACCTATTTACTACCAGGTGAATAGGGGCAGCAGGTGTCAAGAGCCTTGCCCATATGTTTCACTTCACCCACAATATGAATCTGAGCTATTAGATTCTTATAATAATGGGGAAGTGTTCAACCCACATGCATAATTAAGCACATGGGGAAAGAGAGGCAATCCAGTTCACTTCAATGAAGAGAAAGAAAAGTCTACATCCTTGGATGAGAGCCCCTCACTGGCATTAAGGCACCTTCCTTGAGGGGCACGATATCAGAGAATCGTATTTCTTTGAGAAATAAAAAATAAAATACAATTATGTCAAGAAATCTGATGAACAAAAATTAATTTTTTTTTATGATTGTCTCTTACCAACAAAATTGGATTTCCTTGAAAAATAAAAATATAAAATATAATTATGGCAAGAAAGCCAGTGAATAAAAAGTAATTTTTGCATGGCTCTTTTTTAACAGCAGCAGCAGCAGCACCGTGGGGGCTTGGGGCTTCAGCCCCCCAAAATTACCTCAACCCCCAAATAAAAATAGTAAAAATAACAACACTGCTTCAAAATAAATCTCCTAGTACCCCCATCCAGCCAGACAACCATCCTAAGCCCTCGGTATATAGAAATTCTGGTGCCACCCCTGCTTAACAAGTTTTCAATGATGATAATACTGTACTGTATTTGATAATGGTCCAGGAGGGACCAAAAGATTGTCAAAAATTCCAACTCAAAATTATAGATTAGCTGTATATTGTTCCGGTCACAATATTGTGACTTGCATCCTTCTTAACCGAACAGTATCACTAAAATTTAAAAGAACAGTTTATGAAAATACTTATATGTAATATAGAGAAAAAATGAACACAAGTAACAGGTGATTTCATAGATAAGAGTCTTATACGGTAATAACAAATATACCAACTACTCAAGAACACATTCAAAATTATATTTTAAAATCTAAGTTTATACAGTTATATCATATTCAAGTATTTTTTCTTCTATAAAGTAACTAAAATAGCAATATAAAAAATGATGGAACATAATAATATTTCAAATGGAATAAAAGAAGCAAGTGAGTTGTTGGTCCTGAAGTATCTAGGAAATAATGGGGAATTTTTTTTTTTTTTTTTAACAAGTCGGCCGTCTCCCACCGAGGCAAGGTGACCCAAAAAAAAAAGAAAATCCCCAAAAAGAAAATACTTTCATCATCATTCAACACTTTCACCACACTCACAAATTATCACTGTTTTTGCAGAGGTGCTCAGAATACAACAGTTTAGAAGCATATACGTATAAAGGAATAAGGAAGTGGTTTCTGGTTCATGAAGGCTCTCCAGTTAAAACTGTGAGGTCCATATGACTCCTTGTTTATTGCAGCCTTCAGTGAAGCCATTAACATGCTATTCACTGTTGTTGCTACATCTTGCAGTGGACATCAGCATAGTGTAATTTAATTTTGAGAAGCACTCAGCCAGTTTCACAGAAACCTTACATGCTGTTAACGTTTACATATTCCCTATTTTTTGAGCTAACACAACTAGTTTTGTATATACAACCTTTCCTCACTTAGCGATGTACTCGTTTACCGATGACTCGGACTTATGACGGGCTCTCTGACCAGCATGCATACCTAAATAATGTATATTAGAGCTGATTTCCTCTATTCTGTTTATTACAATATACAGTACACTACTGTATAAACATTTAAAAATATACCAGAAATGTTATAAATGGTGCAAAGGTGACATTAAAACAATATCAAGATGGTTGACACAAACCCACTACCATTATAGTATGCTCCTCACTTAACAATGAATTTGTTTACCGACGTCGTCTTAGGAACGGAACTCCATTATTAAGCGAGGAGAGGCTGTATATATATATATGTATATATATTCATTCTTTTTCAACAGAGAATATTGTTTTGGTATTATATGAAAAAAGCCATAAGCAGTGTTTACAGTCTAGTAGAAAAATTATTTACAGTGCTAAATACAGTAAAACTTTGTTCACATCAAATCATGGCTATGTATATCTTTGCCTTTTTCAATACTACTGAGTATCTTTAATGTACCTACCTTTGAATTTGAACTAGGTGCTACCTATGCTTTCCAAAATTTTTTGTGAGCAGCATCAACGTAAATATGAAATTAAAATGCAGTCAGTTACTGGGTTCTCTTTCCGGCTTCTTCAATTAATGTAGCAATCTTCTGCCTCGTGCGCTTGCTGATGTGTGTCATGGTAGCGACCAAGGCAGTCAGTTGGCGAGGAGAGTAATCCCCACGGTTCTGCTGAACCCATTCTTCCAGAGCGCCTTCGGGTAGGTAATATGCTTTGATGTACGTCTCAACGAGATGGCGGTCGGGTAGCGGCCGCACTGCAGTCAAACACTCCAGTTTCATGAGAAATTGCTGAGGACAAGTTTATTTTTAATTAATTAGATTTTTTTTTTTTCAACAAGTCGGCCGTCTCCCACCAAGGCTTTAAATATAAGTAAAATTGGGAGCAAGGGGCGGGTGACCCCTTCTCCTGTATACATTATTGCATAATAATAATAATTAAATAAAAATAATGATTTTATTTCAGCATGATACAATATTTGTATAAAGGAGAATAATATTTGGGTATACATGCTGAAAGCCCCTTTATATGCAGAACATTTTGGGCAAGCTTAAGATTAACTTACGATTCATAAGAAATAACAGTAGGTAGTAGGTTGGTAGACAGCAACCACCCAGGGAGGTACTACCGTCCTGCCAAGTGAATGTAAAACAAAAGCCTGTAATTGTTTTACATGATGGTAGGATTGCTGGTGTCTTTTGTCTGTCTCATAAATATGCAAGATTACAGGTATGTCTTGCTACTTCTACTTACACTTAGGTCACACTACACATACATGTACACATTTATTTATACACACTCATCTGAGTTTTCTTTGATTTTATCTTAATAGTTCTTGGTCTTATTACTTTTCCTTTTATATCCATGGGGAAGTGGAATAAGAATCTTTCCTCCGTAAGCCATGCGTGTTGTAAACGTCAACTAAAATGACGGGAACAATGGGCTAGTAACCCTTTTTCCTGTAAAGATTACTAAAAAGAATAAGAAGAAGAAAATTGTCAAAGTGGGAAGTCTGAATGTGCATGGATGTTGTGCAAATGATAAGAAAGAGATGATTGTGGATGTTATGAATGAGAAGAAGCTGGATGTCCTGGCTTTAAGTGAAACAAAGCTGAAGGGGGTGGGAAAGTTTCAATGGAGAGGAATAAAAGGGATTAGGTCAGGGGTTTCAAATAGAGTTAGAGCTAAAGAAGGAGTAGCAATAATGTTGAAGGATAAGCTATGGCAGGAAAGAGGGACTATAAATGTATTAATTCAAGGATTATGTGGAGTAAAATAAAGATTGAATGTGAAAAGTGGGTTATAGTAAGCGTGTATGCACCTGGAGGAGAAAGAAGTGTAGAGGAGAGAGAGAGATTTTGGGAAATGTTGAGTGAATGCATGGGGAGTTTAGAATCAAGTGTGAGAGTAATGGTGGTTGGGGATTTCAATGCTAAAGTGGGTAAAAATGTTATGGAGGGAGTGGTAGGTAAATTTGGAGTGCCAGGGGTAAATGTAAATGGGGAGCCTTTAATTGAGCTATGTGTAGAAAGAGATTTGGTAATAAGTAATACATATTTTATGAAAAAGAGGATAAATAAATATACAAGGTATGATGTAGCACATAATGAAAGTAGTTTGTTAGATTATGTATTGGTGGATAAAAGGTTGATGGGTAGGCTCCAGGATATACATGTTTATAGAGGGGCAACTGATATATTGGATCATTATTTAGTTGTAGCTACAGTTAGAGTAAGAGGTAGATGGGAAAAGAGGAAGGTGGCAACAACAAGTAAGAGGGAGGTGAATGTGTATAAACTAAGGGAGGAGGAAGTTCGGGGGAGATATAAGCGACTATTGGCAGAAAGGTGGGCTAGTGCAAAGATGAGTAGTGGGGGGGTTGAAGAGGGTTGGATAGTTTTAAAAATGCAGTATTAGATGTGGGGCAGAAGTTTGTGGTTATAGGAGGGTGGGGGCAGGTGGAAAGAGGAGTGATTGGTGGAATGATGAAGTAAAGGGTGTGATAAAGAGAAAAAGTTAGCTTATGAGAGGTTTTTACAAAGCAGAAGTGTTTATAAGAAGAGCAGAGTATATGGAGAGTAAAAGAAAGACGAGAGAGTGGTGGGAGGAGTGCAAAAGGAGAGCAGATGATAGAGTGGGAGAGGCACTGTCAAGAAATTTTAATGAAAATAAGAAAAAATTTTGGAGCGAGTTAAACAAGTTAAGAAAGAATAGGGAAAGTATGGATTTGTCAGTTAAAAACAGAGTAGGGGAGTTAGTAGATGGGGAGATGGAGGTATTAGGTAGATGGCGAGAATATTTTGAGGAACTTTTAAATGTCGGCGAAGAAAGGGAGGCAGTAATTTCATGCACTGGCCAGGGAGGTATACCATCTTTTAGGAGTGAAGAAGAGCAGAATGTAAGAGTGGGGGAGGTACGTGAGGCATTATGTAGAATGAAAGGGGGTAAAGCAGCTGGAACTGATGGGATCATGACAGAAATGTTAAAGGCAGGGGGGATATAGTGTTGGAGTGGTTGGTACTTTTGTTTAATAAATGTATGAAAGAGGGGAAGGTACCTAGGGATTGGCGGAGAGCATGTATAGCCATTATATATAAAGGGAAAGGGGACAAAAGAGATTGTAAAAATTATAGAGAAATAAGTTTACTGAGTATACCAGGAAAAGTGTACGGTAGAACTATAATTGAAAGAATTAGAGGTAAGACAGAATGTAGGATTGCGGATGAGCAAGGAGGTTTCAGAGTGGGTAGGGGATGTGTAGATCAAGTGTTTACATTGAAGCATATATGTGAACAGTATTTAGATAAAGGGAGGGAAGTTTTTATTGCATTTATGGATTTAGAACAGGCATATGATAGAGTGAATAGAGGAGCAATGTGGCAGTTTTTGCAAGTACATTGGCCCCCCCGCATAAACGTCACCCTGAATGCGCCCAAATTTAAATTTTGGGGTGTTTTTTTATGTAAGTGCTTTTTGTACGTGTATGTTTGGGGGTCTGAAATGGACTAATCTACTTCCCCAATTTTTCCTTAGGGGAAAAAATTTCCCGGTCAACTGGCACCTAAACCTATTTTCGGGAGTAAAAAAATATCGAAAACCGGGGGCCCACTGTAATGGAAATAGGTGGGTAAGTTAAAAAATGTGTAAAGAGTTTTTTTTGGGGGATAGTGAGGCAGGTTAGGGTGTGTAGAAGAGAGGGGGATATTTCCCGGGTTTAAAAGTAGGTCTTGGGCCCGGGGATGTGTAATGACCCCGGGTTTGTTTAATATATTTAAGTGGGGTTTTTAAAAAGAAGTAAATGCTAGGGTGTTGGGAGAGGGGTGGGTTTAAAATTATGGGGAACCCAAATTTCCCCCCAAAAAGGGGAATTTGGGACACAGTTCCCTTTTTGCTGATGATACTGGGGCTTATGGGAGTTTTCTAAAAAAAAAATTGCAAAGGTTATTTGGAGGGTTTTGGGGGGAATGTTTTTGGAAAAGGTAGAAAGTTGAAAGTGAACTTAGAAAAGAGAAGGTGAGGGAGGGTGTAAAATGTTTTAGATAAAAAAAATTGGTTATCAAATTGGGGGGGGGAGGAGTATGGAAGAAGTGAATGTTTTCGATACTTGGGATTTTGGACGGGGTCGGGGGGGTGGTTTTAAATAAAGGATGGGTTAATCATAAAATTTGATGGGGGGAAAAAAAGGTGAGGTGGTGCGTTGGGGTTTATATGTGGAGTAAAAAAACGTTATTTTATGGAGGCAAAAAAAGGGGGAATGTATGAAAGTATAGTAGTCCAAACCCACTCTTATATGGGTGTAAGCTTGGGTGGTAAATGCAGCAGCGGGGGGAGGGTTTTGGAGCGGGTGGAGATTTCCTTTTTTAAAGGGCCCAAGGGTGGGGTTTGTAAATTTTATGCAAAAAAAATTCGGATTTGGGGAAAAATTTGGAGAAGGTTGGAGTTAAAAAAAGTATTAGTCAGAGGGCAGAAGGGGGGTTGTTGGGGTTTTTTGGGTTTTTTCTTTTTTTTTTAGGAGAAGGGAAACAAATTTGAATGACAGGGGAAAGGCATTTTAATCTATGGGGAAGGAAGGGGGGGTGGGGGGTCGTCCTCAAAAAGGGTTGGGGGGAGGGGGGAAAAAGGAGGTTTTTTTGGGCAAGGGGCTTGGACTTCCAGCAAGCTTTGCGTGAGCGGGGGTTAGATAGGAGTGAATGGAGACAAAAGGGAAACTTGGGGACCCTGAGGGCTTTTGGAGTGGAGCGGGGTTTAATATTTAGTGAAGGGATTGGGGAAAAACCGGTTATTTTATATTCGGACTTGAGCCCTGGAAAGGGGAAATAAAATTGCCTGCATTTAAAAAAGGGAAAGGGGTTTTGGGGAAATTTTTGGCAGTTTGGAGGGATTTGTTGTGTTTTCTTTATATGTTTTATGTTTTTTAAACTGTTGTTTTCTGGCACCTCTGAAAAAACAGTGAAATGTGCGAGTGTGGGGAAAGTGTTAAAATGTTTGGAAAGTATTTTTCTTTTTGGGGATTTTCTTTCTTTTTTGGGGTCACCCGGCCTCGGGGGGAGACGGCCGACTTGTTGAAAAAAAAAAAAAAAAAAAAAAAAAGTGGGCTCAGGTTAGGGTGTTGGGAAGAAGGGGGGAGGGAACTACTTCTCGGGTAAAAGTAGGTCTTGACAGGGTTTGTGAAATTGTCACCATGGTTGTTTAATATATTTAAAAGGTTTGGGGTTGAAAAGAAGTAAATGTTTAGGGTGTTCGGGGAGAGGGGTGGGAAAAATTAGGGGGAAAAAAATTTCAAAATGGGAATTGACACAGTTCCTTTTTGTTTGATGATACTTGCTTAGGGGGAATTTAAAAAAAATTGCAAAAGTTAGTGGATGGGTTTGGGGAAATTTTTGTGAAAAGGTAAAAAGCTAAAAGTGAACAAAAAAAAGATTAAGGTGATGGGGTATCAAATGATTTGATAAAAAAAAATTGGTTTATCAATTTGGGGAGGAGGAGTTGGAAGACGTGAATTTTTTTCAGATATACTTGGGGGGTTGACGTTGGTCGGCGGAGGGAAATTTAAAGAAGGATGAGGTAAATCTTTAGAATTGATGAGGGAAAAAAAAGGTTGAGGGAGTGGTGCATTGAGGTATTGTGGAGTAAAAAAAATTTTTAAATTTATGGAGGCAAAAAAAGGGGAATGTAGGAAAGTATTGTAGTCCCAACACTTTAAAGGGGGTTTTGAAGCTTGGGTGGAAAATTTGCAGCAGTGGGGAAACGGTTGGGGGCATTGGAGTTTGTCCTGTCTAAGGGCAATGTG